CAAGCAGTATTACGTTCCGAACTTCCGAACCTACCAAGACAGTTACTCCGAGCTCTCCCCCATCGTCTCCGGTACCACTGCCATCGTCCGACATCCAACCATCTGATGTTCCGCCAGCACCCCAGCCCCAGGCTCCCATTCCTCCATTACCATCTATCGAGTTCATCAGCCGTTCCGCATTCATGAAGGCTTGTCGACTTGAAGGATCGGTATCCTTCAGCCTAACCATCCCTTCTGAGGACAGCCACTTGAGGGCTGCCTCTTCCCACACCGACTCTGTTGACCTCTCAGCCGTTCCGAAGTGTCAGGGATCGGCAATGACCCTGGACCCTATGCCGGCTGCGCGTATGCGCATGGGAAGTATGCCAGTAATTCCCGTCTACTCCGCTTACCTAAGCCCCGGTGACCCGGATCATCTCCGGCATTGTTCTGGAACATTCTATGATCACGTGATTCTATCAGCAATCCGTTTGGTTTCCTTATTGCCGGACTCTACATGTATATAGCTGACCCTAAGATGGGGACATCCCTTTCCCCCGGCTTTAATCACAACTAGGTTATCGGAGCATCTTGCGCGAGCACACACATCCCCTGACACCATGAGTTCGCAGATGTGTTCAGTAAGAGCAAAGCCTTGACGCTGGCACTGCACCGTGAGCATGACCTGAAGATCGACCTTGAGGAAGGCACTTCACCACCCTTGGGTACTATGTACTCTCTCTCTACTTCGGAACTTGAGGCTCTCTGGCGTTCTTAGATGAACACCTAGCCTCCAGGTTCATTCATCCCACTACTTCCACTCACGTGGCACTGGTCCTCTTCATCTGCAAGAAGGACAGGTCCCTCCATCTTTGCGTTGACTTCCGAGGGCTGAACAAGATCACCAAAAAGGATCGCTACCCACTTCCCCACATTTCAGACCTCCTTGACACCCCTAGCCATGCCACAGTCTATACCAGACTCAACCTCCGGCATGCTTACCACCTGGTTCGCATTGCAGCAGGCGACGAATGGAAGACTTCCTTCCGCACACGCTATGGTTCCTACAAGTGGCCTCGACACAAATTTCTACAGTGGCCCCATATCTGCAAATATTGCAAAAGGATGCTGGTCAACAAATGTGTGTTTCAATTGTGGGGAACCAGGACACAACAAGTTGGACTGTGATCTTAGCCCTCAGGAAGTGCATCTTAGACGTGAATGCAAACTGGGGGGTGTAGAGAGAACCAAGTTTAGGGCGGCTGGACGAGAATATAGTGGACTCTTAATTAGGAAGGTATACGATACAAATATATGTAAATATGGGTTTCGAGGTCGTTCTTCCAACACACCCTCTCGAACGAAGAAACTAAGGAGAAAGAAGTATAAAGAATGCAATTAATAAAGAGCGTGTGATTCAGGATAAGATCCATCCACATCTGCTAGCTTCGCATGTCCCTTCTCCACTGATCCAGACTTGGTTGTATTATTTTTTTGACGGCGACGTGCTTCTCGAGTGCTGATGTCACAGTTACTCCGCATGTGGTCCGAAGCACCACAGTTGTAACAGGTACCCGGTGTTTTATGAGTCCGGGTAATGTTCACCACAGTGTCAGGGCATACACCCTGACCTAGCCCATACCGCATCCACACCCGCACTCGCACCCGCACCCGTGACTGCACCCGGCTGTTGCACTCCCCGCGCGCGCCCTGTGCCGGATGCTCAGTGCGGCCGGATGGCCCGGACCTCGGGTCTCGGGTCTCATGTGACTTCCGGATATCTCCGGAAGTTTTCGATGTATTGTGGCCACTGTGGGAAGATGAGAAGTTAACTTCCTTCTCATCTCTGACCCACAGTAGGCAAGTTGTATATACTTGCCTCTCTTTTATATACCATCTCTGACCCACAGTAGGTTGTGCCCTGGACAGGGCTGGTTACACCTGGGACTGTGGACCATAGGGGAGGGTCATGGGGACCCGGGAGTCGTCCCCTGACACACAGCTGGCCCATCTATAGATGCGGCTTCGCACTGACGGGCTTCTTCATTTAACAATCGTCTGATGACTTCTTGAATAGTTGCCAGATTTGCTGAATAATCCGGGCTATCGAGGAGGGTGTCGACAAGGACAATAAGGGGAGTGTAGGATTCAGGGAGATCACGGATGAGGGTGTTTACAATGTCGATGGGGATCATGGGGGAATTGCTATCGGCAAGACGACGAACCATGTCTTCAACCTTCGTGACCCAATCCCGCATTGAGAGCTTAGGGTCATAGCCCATTGAATTGAATTGACGGCGAAGTCCAGCAACGGAACTGTGGCCTTCGGCACGGAATAATGTTTGGAGTTTCTTCCAGGTGCCACAAGCGTCAGAACTATCACAATGTGTGATGTACTTGACTGACACATTTAGTAAGATTTCTGCGGCTGTGAGGTCATGTTTCTTTTGCCAAGCAATGACGGTCTTGTGGTGCACGCTTCCAACTGGTCGGGGTGAATCACCAGATACAACGCTCCAAAGGTCCTTCTTTACCAGATAGGCCTTCATATACATTGTGTCATATCCATACAATCCCGACCTCCGCTCCGGGCTCCTGGAACTCCGAACTCCGACTTCCAGAGCCCTACTTCCCTTCCGTCACCTTCTCCTTGCCGACTCCCAAGAGGTTATCCCACCTCCGGCTCAGACACCACCTTCGGTCCGACTCCGGAACATTCCGGGTCCGACCCCAACCTCGACACCTTCCAGACGAGTACGCAAAACCTATGCTCCCGACTCCGGACCTCCACTCCGGTATCCCGTTCACGTCTCGTCTCCGGAACCTCCGGTCTTAGCTCCGACCTCGGACTTTGACCCCACCTCCGCTTATACCCATTGTATTGGTTAGCTCATTCCATTTAATTACGTTTGCCAATATTCCGGAGTTTAACCTCCGAGTTCGGACTTTCCGGACTTACTCCGGACCTTGCAACTATTGCATTGTCCATTTCAATTCCGCTATTCTCCCTCATTCCTATTTGGGCTGCTGCTTCTTTTCTATTCAGTCAGCTAGCCATTCCCGACTCCCATCCTCCTTCCTTCCTTCTTGGGCCTTGGCCCTTCATTCCTCCTTTGAGAAACACCATTGAGTCAAACACTTGACCCTCGGTGTTGTTCCCCTTTCCATCTCCCTTTGTCTCCTTTTGTCCTACCCTTGTTCCTTTTGATTCCGGACCCCTCCTTATATACAATGTACCTAGTAACTTGTAACCTCAGTCCGAAATCGACTGGAATTCCCCCCCAAGAGACTTTCCCTCTGCTAGATCCGAAATTAGGGACCCCCAGGACAACCAGCAATGGCACAGCGCTCCACTTGAGTCGCTGAGGCCGAGGTCCTTCCATGCTAAGTCTCCGATTCCATTCCGGAGTCGTCCGAATCCGCACGTTCTAACACATTGCCCAGGCCGCGTAATTGTCGTCATTGAGTTTGTCAAAGGGGGTAGAAGCGGGCATGTGGGAAGTGAAAAATTAAGAGTGGGAAGCAAGCAGTTTGAAGAAAATTTCACCCTCTGAAGGGAAATTTCCGGTGGCCGTGAGAAGCAAATTTCGTGGCAAGGAGCAGAAGGGGAAATAAGGAATATTGCATGCCTGTCTAAGGACTTAGAGCAAGGGGGTGATAAAGGGGTGCCAAGTCCGACCTTAAAAATGGGCGCCGGACTGGACTTGCGTGCCCAACACAAACTTGAAGAATGCCACACACTGGCCTTAATGGTGGGCGCCAGGCTGGACTTCAGTGCCCAAAAACAATGCCTTAAAGGACTTAAAAGGATGCCTGGTGTACAGGACTTAACAAATGCCACATGGGACTTAAGATACGGGGGATTGCCCCTGCCTCGCTGAGGACTTATGAAGGTGGTCAACTGCACTTTGACCAACTGCCGCGAGAGTCGGGCGGACTTCCTTGATACCTAAGCTTGTCCAGGCGAGCCGCCTGGGCTCATAACCTGTAGAGAGAACCAAGTTTAGGGCGGCTGGACAAGAATATAGTGGACTCTTAATTAGGAAGGTATACGATACAAATATATGTAAATATGGGTTTCGAGGTCGTTCTTCCAACAGGGGGGACCAAGACCGCAACCAAGGCCCTGAGTCGGATTCAGAGGGTGAACCCTTTGTGGTCTATTGATTTTTCTCTCTTTATTTCTCCCTTTTTTTATTTACTCTGTTATTACATGCCTTATTTGCTTGAGAGGGTGTGTTGGAGAGCAAGCGCATAGCATGTATTTACTCCTATTTACACCAAATATAGATCTGTAGAGCCGACAGCCATCCCAACCAAGTTTCACCACTGAGCCCCATTTCCAACATCATCTTATCAGATGGTTCAATCAGGCTTCCATCTAGGTAGCCCCAGGTGTGTCCCATAGCAAATCGGAGGTCGATAGACCACCTATTCCAATCGTCGCATCCCTTCAGCTTAGCAATAGCAAGGACAGCCTTATCGATGGTCAAGTCTTTCAGAGTCATGGTACATCCTTCGGGTCTGATCCAGAACGAGTAGGTAACGGCGATTCAGAACAAGACAGCTCCTTTCTGAGCAATAGTTCAACAGTGCCGGACGACTTTTAAAGCGGTGGAGTAAAACTGGGCTGTAACCTGTAATAACTGCGCAGCGCGATACCTCAATTAGTGAGGTATCAGCTGCTAGCGCAAGTCCGGTCCTTATATACATCTTGTAATGACTCTATGCCACTGAGGTGAAACATGAGTGGTAAACAACAAGTGGAAAACAAAAGCGTGAAGACAAAGAGTCAAAGAGTTTGCCGCCGTTTGTGCCTCAAAGCGCCCCTCCCCTTCCCAAAGCGTGAATGTCCGGCCCGGGTGACTCCCTTGACCACCAGTGGCGTTGGGCTGCAACTTCTAACACCACGTCATCACGAGGCCACGGTGGTGACAAGATAGATTCATCATCATCCGTCTTTGGTAGGAATCCAAAGGGGACACCCCCAATAGTTTCTGGGATGACTTCTTTTTCAATAATCACATGCTAAGGCCATTGTGACGAACCTTCTTGATGATGCCGACGAGCTTGGCGTAACCATTCACGTCGCTAATCATCATGCCTCCAATTCCCATCCGTGCTGAAGATCGACGGAGAGAATGAGTCAAGTGCCACTATTTAGCCTGAATATGTTTTCCGTTACTTTTTGTGGACAGAAGCGGAGCGAAAGGATCCTTATACGTCAAGCATTCGATGGGTCGTTCCTCGAATGCCCTTTAATTGCCCCCTATTCGTCCTGATTCCCACTTCTCTGTTGGCCTTCAAACTTCCGTTACACTGAGACTGCGTCTTGGCCGCCGCTTTGAGTCTGGTTGCATGTGCAGCAGCGGCCTCTTCCGCGGCGATGCGCTCTTTGAACCGTTTATCGACAAAGTCTCCGAAGGAGGCTACGTTCACCTTGGGCTTAGTGGGGAAATCGGGGTCGTTCATTTTGCGAGGCTTGAAAGAACCGAGAGTCTGTGTGATATTGAAGGAGAGTATGTCCGCCATCTCAACTATACTGAGGCTAGTCACGGATTTTACTAGGAAAGCCGACGGAGAAGTTATCCACTTGTCATGAGGTCGTCCTTGAGTGAGATTCCTTCCTTGGGCTAGCGGGCCATGCCAGATGCCCTCGCCAGCTCGTCCCTCGGGGTTATGCCAATCGCGAAGACAAGTCAAGGATCGTTCCGTCGTTAAACTCGATGCTGGTAAAAAGGTTATCCTTGCCGTCATCAGCTTCGCCCGAGGAAGGGATTATCAATATCTCACTCACTACTGTATTTGTGAAGAATTTAAGTCCCAAAGCCTCGATCAACCCAACCAACCAACCAACCCAGCCAAATACAATGCAGCACAAGTTCTCCGGCCTCTTCCCGATCGAGGCTTGATGCTACTCCGTTCGGAAGCCTCTACGGCAATTGTCAATTTCGGCCCTTCCCCGAGATCCCCTGGGAGTAAGCCGGGGTCCTTTCGGAATCAATATTAATTTGGCCCGGGTGTGTGCGTGTATCAGTGGTTGCTTGTGAGTTACCCTTGTAGAATGCGAGTCTTGTGGGCGAGTACGAAGAATTGGACTACAGCTTCTTAACGGATCGATGTCATGCCCAAAAAGTTACTGAGTTCTCACGGGCCTACGTCGCTTCGGTCACGTAACTCTGTGGCGCAACACGATTAATGCACGCTACGTGAGACGCTTCTCCACACGTTATTACCCTGTGCCTGTGCTCCTAGTCGAGATTGAGCAGCCCCTCTATGAAAGCTTATCTCTAGAAGCGACGTTGGAATGCTGTCGCGTGAAAGCTCAGGTTTTGTTTGTTACCAATGCCTACGAGAAAGATCATCCTCATCTCAGCTGCGGAAACCACGTCTTTCCAAGGACCTTGGCGTGCGCGCGATCTCTTCAAGCAGACGTCGAGCCCAAGCGTTGGTGGTCCTCGCGAAAAGAAAATTTATCATCACGGCCAGCCCCAGGCGAATTGTTGAAATCAAAGTACTTATCAGACTACATCGACAGGGATGCAGCGCATGGTTCAGTATTTTTGGGCAACGCTTGTAGATATCTATGCTTTTACTCTTACTTATCCGCATCCCTTCCAATGGAAGTCATACTTACGGATGCATTGATATCCCAAACTCTATCTCAAGTCGTGCGTTCGCTCGTCCAAATTTGGTCCCTCTATTCAACAACTATACCTCCCACTCGACATCATACTTCTAGTCTTACGATAGATACAATCGACCTACTCCGGTAATAACATTGTCCGTTTCAGCGCCCGCCACGTTGCACTGACCATTTGTTCTCTTCGTTCTGTTGTTCATGCAGACTCAATGAACTTCTCAGCACATTGGGGGGATAATAAAGTTCACTCTGGAGGCAAAATGCTGCCAGGTACAGCCCACCATCGTCAGGAGTACCGAGTCGAATGCAGGGCACTAATGGCTTCATCCGTCAGACTGCTCCAATTTAGGTGTTGGTGAAACACTGCACAAGAAGAACAGCTTTCCGTGCGCATCTTGCATCTACAGGGACCAGCCGCCGTGGCATGTCATTGTACAAGCACCCTCTCTGGATACGGATTGCGACGTTTTCGACCCCACAATTGTCAGGCATGAGTGGTGAAAGTCGCGAGAGGCCCTACTTACTCCGAATTCCCGTCCAAACAATCTTTATCGGAACGAAAGGAAGGGGCCTCATCAATCCTCTTCTCCCTCGGCTTTCGAGCCAACGGAATCCTCATCACATTCTACCCTTGCCATAGATAGAGTCCTACCGCGGAAAACCACTCCCGTGCATCAATATACCAATTGGTTGGCATATGACCTTGGATGATATTCACTGGCACCGTCAACGAATCGCCTCGGAAACACATCGGGAACGAGCACTATAATCAGGATTTGGCATTGGCGTTCACCATCTTACAATTGCTCACAGATAGCGAGTACGAAGATATGTCAAACCCAGACACCATCGCAGGACCACTGACCACTGAGACTTGAGATGGTGGTTGTTCGAAGCCATTGAGCTTGCGCAACCTGCCCCGCATTCCTTCACATCGGTAGGCTGACAGGGGAATATTAATTTGCTCGATGTAGTAAAAAGGGCAGGTGCCAATCTTATCCATCAGCAAGCCTTTTGGAGTACTGCGTGGCAGCATGAGTAACTTGCCTTCTCTTCTGTGTCAAGTTAAGCTGTCATGCCGTCAACAAATATACATCTTTGACAGAATTCAAAACAAATTATTGACAGCATTCTGAGCAAATTTGATTGAGTCCTATTATGTAGCCCATTTCAAATCTGCGATGATCATGGTGAATAACATTGTCGTAAAGTGCTAACGTATAATATTAATGCACAACGTCAAATCACCATTCAAGGCTGGAGTTCCCATGATTGCCGCAGCCGGCGGTAGCACCCCCGGTCGAGCATGATGACGTTGATTGGTGGCCTTCCTTGATACGGCCATCTGGCCCTACGATTTCAATTTGTGTCCCACCGCCTCTGCCGAACGCTTCTGCAGTTGCGTTCCGAACCTAAGTCGGTCCATCAAATCGGTCAAGTACGTTTCGCCTGTGTAAGTAAAATTGCTCACCATCCACTTGCTTGTTCCAATTGCTTGGTCCAACTCGTTTTCTTCCGGCAGTTTAACAAGCAAAAGTCCATCTTCTTCTACCACGTCGAAGGCTAGGATTCCAAAGTTCGTATCGTTTAAGCACTCGCCACTACTTAAGTTGAAATTCCGCTTATGAAGGGGACATGACACGTAGACGTTCCCGTTACTGTCATCACCCACAAGGCCATGGTCCAGTACGAACGCTCGCTTGTGAGGGCACATCTGCATGTGTCAAGTGAAGTATAAAGTGAGCCACCGCAGTTAAAGAACGCAAAAATTGCGTACCTGTTGCGTTGCGTAGTATCCTCGCTTAGGCACATGGAAGATTGCCAACTGGGAGTCCCCATACTTAACAGTCGCAGAGCTAGGTGCGTGGAGGTCAGTATATCGAGCTTGGCTATGTGTCAAGTCCCCACATGGAGTCCTTACGTAGAATGGTCGTCTGATGGGGCAAGATCCGACACTTGGGCGAGCGGACGCCATTTCCAATCCGCTCGAGCTACCCCTATATCATTTTCAGTGATGTGGACGCCGGGAAACTCCTTGGGCCAGTCAGCCGGCCGCTATGGAAGACATGTGTGTGAATCCTCATGCTAGCAGGATCACAATTAATTGAGGCAATGTAAATTCACCTTTTGTTCCCGCTCGACAATTGTCTCGATACCCAGCCGTGTTTCATCCTAGGAGAGCGATTCATATCGAAGTATCACAGAGCATGAGAATCACCATACCGTGTTCACGAATTGACGGAATATTTTCTGCCGTTCAGGATTGCGTACAACTTCAGTCCACTCGCATTCGTAGGTTCCTATTAATGCGTCCATTTCACGCTCTAGGTCGCCACATATTCCCAGCTCATCATCGATAAGAACCTTCTTCAGCCTCTGAAATTGGTTGTCAGCTCGCGGCTGCGGTGCTGGCCACATGCAGACCATTCTCACCTCAATACCGCCTTCATAATTCTCTACCCACCGGGCTGTCCGTTGCAGCTTATCGGCGGTACGAATGTAGTACATCAGAAACCTGTCAATGAGCCTCACCACTCGAGAGGGTGGAACATCTGTGGCAAAGAGAGTAGCGTGACGAGGGTTCGCTCCCCCGTTGCCAGCTATGAACACTGCAAATCCAATATGAACGCTACAACCTGGGGCTAGAAAACCGAAGCTTACAATTCCAACCCTTGTCGGTGGCAATGAGCCCAAAATCTTTTGATTGCGCTTCCGCACATTCGCGCACGCAGCCGCTCACTCCGCCCTTGATCTTATGGGGCGCTCGGATCGACTTGTACCGCTCTTCAAGCTGAACTGCCACTATCCAAAAAGCATTCACATGAATATCGCTCAGGCCGGTGCCGACTGCTTACGCCCAACTGAATCCCCAACTCCATAACGGCACCATGTGGTCCCAACGCACGACTTAACGGTGCGAAGCGATTTTCCATAAGCGTGTCCACTTTGGAACCCAGCTTCAACGAGCTCGCTCTAATGACCCAAGAGATGGCCATGAAAGATTGAATGGCGCTGACAAAAGAAATCATTTGCCCGCTTACCCATATGCTGGGAAGATCTTGCTTCTGCGCCCCAAACATATCGATGCGCTGCCTGGGATAAAAGTGAGTGAGAAAGAGAGCAGATACCCAGACGGATTTGTATTCACCCTCCTGTGATCTTGGTGTACAGGCCATCTATCGGCGGCGAGCCATCAGTACTCTCTCAGGGAAGTTCGAACGAAATAGGCGCTTACATTTCTTTGCCACCTGACCTATAACTATGAGACCGTCAGGAGTAATTTCCCCTCCTGATATTCGAGGGACAACCGAGAAGGTCCCTAAAAAAAGGATATTAGCCCAGCCGAAGCCACCGGATTTACGACGAAACAGACCGTTTCGTTGGATGTTTGCGAGATACCTAGAACGATAGAGCTCATGCTTCAGAGTCGATCGACGGCCCGTCATGAAAACCCGCTTACTTGTCATTCGTATCCTGGTTCTGATTATGGATAGGCTTTATGATGTGCTCATTGTAGAGTGAACTGAGGATGGATCCGACAGCGGGCTTGCAGAGCTCGCAACCTATGGCGTTCTTGTTCATGCCAAGGGTACTCATGACGGTCGGGAAGTCCTTCAGCTGTTTTATCCTAACGGCGGCTGGTCAGTACCCAGACTATGCATATCGAAACGGGGATAAGACAAACTTGATGACATTAAAGAGTTCAGCGCGAGACATGTTGAAGTGTTGGCAAACGTTGTTGTTTGTCTCCACACCAGCTTTCTTGAGCTCGGCCTAGAAATCAACCCAAAAGTAAGATGAGCCTTTGGGGTTCCTCATATTCATATGTCCCGCATACCTTGAAAATATTCGTTACCAATGGGATGCACCCACCGCATCCAGTCCCAGCCTTCGTCTTCGCTTTAAGATCTCCGATGTTACCGATGCCACCCTTGACGGCACCAATGATATCTGCTTTCGTGACGTTCTATAAAATATAAATATCTGAAATCGCGGATGAATGGCGGTTCGGAAAGGTACGCACGTGGCAGGAGCAAACTTGAGTGTCATCGTCCAAATCACCTCCATCATCTTCCCCGTTTTTGGGACGACCAACGATAAACTCCGAAGGGGATACCTCCAATGGTTTCTGGAACGATCCTCTTTTTCAGCAATTTTTCTGACTAGATCAGTCATCGTAAACAAACCTTCTTCTTGACGATGCCGACGAGCTTGACGTAATCGCTCACGTCACCGATCATCATACCTCCAAGTAGATGCTTCCCATCCGCGCTGAAGATGTACCTAAATGGAGAAAATGAGTCAAGCGCCACTCAAATATATTTTTGCCGTCACTTTTTGTAGACAGAAGCGAAAGGATCCTTATACGTCAAGCATTTGATGGGTTCGTCTAGCCGCTCCTCGAATGCCCTTTGCCTTCTCTTTTCCACTTCCCCATTGGCCTTCACACTTCCGATACAATGGGATTGGGTCTCGGCCGCCGCTTTGAGTCTGGCTGCATGTGTAGTCGCAGCCGTTTCCGCAGCGATACGCTCTTTGGACCGTTTATCGGCGAAGAAGTCTCCAAAGGAGGCTACATCCACCCCCATGAGCTTGAGCTTAGTGGACAAATCGGGGTCGTTCATTTTGCGAGCTTTGAAGGAACCGAGTTCTGTCTGAGTCTGTGTAAGATTGAAAGAGAGTATGTCCGCCATCTCAACTATAATTGCAGCGTGGGGGAGGTTAGTCAGGGGATAACGCTGGGAGAGCGAATGGATAAATTACCCCCTGGTCCAATCAGACCGTAGGTATGACCTCTCCAGTTGGCACATTCACCGATCGCGTACACGTCTTGAGCGCTTGTCATGAGATTGTCACCAATTGAAATTCCTCCCTTGGGATGGCAGGTTATGCCAGAGGCCTCGCCAGCTCGTCTCTCGGGGTTATACCGATCGCGAAGATAATCAGTTGACAGTCGAGGACCGTTCCGTCGTTGAACTCGATGCCAGTAAAAAGGTCTTCCTTGCCGTCATCCAGTTCGGCATCGCCTTTCGGAGCAGGGATCGTCAATATTTCTTTCACTGCTGCATTTGTGAAGACTTTAACCCCAAGAGCCTCGATACGATGCAACACGAGCTCCCCTGCATCCGCATCGAGCTGTCGAGAGAGAGGATACGCTTGGCGGTTCACGATACAAACATCCTTGATATCGGGGAGGTCGTAGACGGCTTTGGCAGCTTCGAGTCCAAGTAAACCGCCTCCAATAACGATCCCCGACCTCCTTTCACGCCCTCTGTTTGAGAGTATGCAATGAGGTCATCAAGATCTGAGAGATTTCGGTAAACGAAAACGCCTCGAATTCTTTGAGCGCGTTCAGGGCGGATATACGGAGGGAGGGCAGCATTTGAGCCTGTTGCGATTACACAGTAGTCGTAAAAGATCCTCTTGTCATTGTCGGTCGTAGCAACCTTAGCCTCGGGATCAATTGAAATGACTTTCTCGCCTTGGATATTTGGATCATCGAATTAGCCTGAGAATGTGATTGATGGGTCGCTTGTGTGCCTACCCGTGTAGAACACGAAACGAGACGGGTCTTGTTGGCGATACCACTCGGGAGAATTGAGGTACAGCTTCTCGACGGATCGATGTTGAAAATACCTGATCAAAACGTAATGAGTTCTCACGGGCCTACGCCGCTTGACAGTCACGTACTCTGTGAGCGCAACACGATTGTACGCTAAATGAGCCTCCTCTCCACACGTTATCACCTCGTACCTGCATTGTTCATCTAGATTGAGCAACTTCTCGATGAAAGCTATCATCAGAGGCGATGTCAGAATGTTGTCCGTGCGGAAAGCTCAGGTGCTGTCACTTACCAATGCCCACCATGCCAAGGCCGGCGACAAAGATCGTCTTCCTCTCGAAAACCATGTCTCCCAAAAGATTTTTGCACGCGCGGGGCTGTTCGAGCCGATGTTTCAAGGCAGAGCTCAAGAGGCCGGTGCGATAATTGATGATCCTTGCATAAACCCGAGATCTCAAATTCGTCGTCTTATCTGAGCTTTAAACAATACGCGGATAGGACAAAGGGGACACGAAAAAAAAAAATTCGTGCCTAGGCACTGATAAGCCGAATGAATTGTCCCCTCCATTTGGTGGAGGTGCTCTTCATCGAGATTTGGGAAGTTTTTTTATGGAAGCCCCCCCGACAGAGACAACGCCGAAAACCCGGCCGTATGCACTGCCGCCCCAAAGTGGTTTGGACGTCTTCGTGCCAAAGGGGGGGCTCGATGTTGGAAAACCCTCCATGAATTTCCAGGGTGATGAAAATTGTCTCATTTTCCACCAGGGCGTCGATATGAATGGTGTTGCGATGGATATCCCAAGAGCAAAATATGCATTTCAGCTGCAAAGCCGAGATTATAGCCATGCAGTTATACTAAGAAGTTTGCAATCGCACACGAATTCACCTATAGGGCCTGGAGCAGAATGTTCTCTTCGCAGTTTTGATTCAACCAGTTACATGTGGTTGTCGGAAGGACCCGAAGCTGGGGCGCTTGGTATGAATCAGAATCAAATTGAATCAATTGTTCTTCTCGATAAATATGGCAGGAACTTGCCAGGGAGGGTCTCAAAGTCAGATTATTTTCGATTGGTGGATTACCTGTCCATCACAGCCCTATCGCCCTGAACCGGCTAATGACGTTGATGTTGATGAAATAATCTGCCCTGCACCGCTTCTCATCACTTCCTGCTTCGAGTCTGTAGCAATGGCTACTTCCACTGCGATACACCCTTTGGACTGCTCATCAATGAAATGCTTTCCTACATCGGGCTTGAGCGAGAACAAATTACGGTCGTTCACTGGGAAAGAACCCGCATGCGTTCTCGGCACTCGCCACTCCCCTTAGGATGTTCAGGCCATGCCAGTAGCGCAACGTTGCGGGGAGGTAAGCCCACCCCGTTCCCCTCGTTCTTCCTTGCAGTTTCTCACTCAAGCAAGTGTAAATACGCATTTTTTAAGGTCAGCAGTTTTTTAGCTCCTCTAATACCTTCACTCCAAATACATGGGGCCTTGCCAGTGTATGGACATTGAGGGACAGAAAGAAGCACTAGCTGGAATTCGAAATACCATAGTACAGCCCTCCCCATGATCGAGATGAGTATTGCTTATGTAAGCGTCACAAGGCTTCCCCACTTATGTATAACCAGTTAGTTAACCCCAACTCGCGATGGTGATAAGGCCCCGCACCTTACTTATAGGACAAATGGGGCCATAATTTCATCATTCCGTCGGCCCCCCCGAATTTTCACGTGGATCAAACAACACCCTTCAATTTTGAGCCTTTATTTCGTGATCGGCTCCCGGAGGGTCGTGTGCGTCAAAATCCTTAGGCGCGCGGTATGGTCGCCACGGCCGAGGGAAAGCCTTTCTTTGTCGATCGGCATTAATGGTGAGGGTCCAAATCCTTGGATCTCTCCAGCTTGGCTATATTCCTCTCTGATGATAAGGCCTCGTTCAGCAAGGGCTCATCCTCGGACATCTCCCTTCATTTTGCGATAAGAATGAATCGTCGCGATTCGCCATTATACAATTAAGGGGCCCTGGGAACCGTTATCATGACGTTCTATGTGTCTTCGTCGAGATCCCGATGGAAGCCTGTGGCCACAGATGACGTTGGGGGTTGCTGCCGGGTCGCCCCAGAGACTTGGACGTACAGAGTTCCTTTGGGCTAATGTCGATCCAAGGGTCTAACCGCATCAGCGAAATGATCGTGATTGGGGTAACTCCAAGAGTTTCAAATCGGGATCTGCCGCCTGTCGTGGCAGATCCCGTTACTCCTCTCACCTTGAAGACAGTTGGGAGTAAAAGGAAAGAAGCATATGTATTGGGAAAATGGGGGCCCTTGTGCATAGGGCAATTGAGTCGGGGGCCAAAAATTTTGCAGGACTCGCTACGGAGTAGCGGGAATATCAGTTTGAACGATCGCACCCTTTGTTATTTAAGAGTGAGAATGGGAAATGCCTAATTTCAAGAAAATTTGTGCTACTGTAAAAAATCCGGAATTAACGGCAACTATTCCCCAGTGATGTCGAATAGCAGGAATTGCCGAGGCCCGCCAATTTTGCCTTGTTCAGCCATACATATGTAAATGTTGTAATTTCCCTCGTGTTCGGCTAAGGAATATTGGAGAAGCGCAACGTCATTGGATATATGTACATAAGAACGAATGGGAGCTACATAACCGCAGAATCCTGGAGCAACGGAACAACGATTGTATTTTTCTCCAAACCAAGATTTCTGATTAAGTAACCTGATATACCAAAAATGGAAAATGTCTTCTGCAAATGCGGCTTGGGGTGGGTGTGGACCCGAATTGCGGCGCTTGCTTGGCTCCGTTTGCCTCGGGGATAGCTGCACTGCCACGCGGGGTAGTGTGTGCCCGGTTCCTATGCCGAGCTTTTCGATGACCTTTGGATGAACTTGTGCCTTGTCGATTTTTTGGAATCAGATCTGATTGTCTTCAAGCCAGATAGTATCCCCGGACGTTTGCCTAATCGCCTTCATCGGTCAATGAAGGCGATCAATGGATGGCTGGTTATGAAGACCACATTACAACACTTCTCCTCGCATCCTTCAGCTTTCCTTTATACCTTCTTGCCCCCCCCCTTGGCTCTCCCTCAGAAGGGGGGCAAAGAGACAGTATTTTAGTCCCAGAGATTTGTACTCGATATCGCTTCAGGGACATCACAAACCCCACAAGGCCCTCCCCCTTCCACGATCAAGAGCATCTGGGAACGCGGAAAATTAGATTGGAAAAACCATTCCATCCCGATCTTCAATCTGAAGTGGCCCTACGCTCTCAACTTCCATTTGTGAGTACCAACCCCCGATCCGTGGCCCAACGCTATGTTCATAGACACTTCTTAGATCATGGATTGCCCTTCATGTCGTATTCTTGTCATTGGTTCGCCTTCTCTCCACTCAGTTGTTACTATAACGTATCTTTTGTCGATCGTCGCACACCCTGCCCGGCCAATCTGTTGAACATCTGCACAAGTTGGTTTTCCAACTCCCGATGGCCAACTTGCTTCGGTTTTTCTGACATTCTCTGGAGGGAATTATAACATCGTCGCTTGTGCCTATGATAACTGGACCGTTAGTCGATTGGCTCGGCTTCTCATACTCGGCGCCACTCCATCTGGACTGCTTGTACAATCCATTCCATTGGGGGTTTATACACTGTCCGATTCCTTTGTTGGCATTCCTAGGGGAACGTTTGTCCCCTGTGTATACATAATGTAATTGAAATGCACCAGCATAGGACGTCATATGTTGGTTCGTAGGTCAGGCGTGGACGATGGCGTTTTCGACAAGAACTGTGTAGGAACAACTGATCGCACCATCAGTGAATGGGGTACTGCTGGAGGAGGGACTCGGAGCGTTGGCGACGTCGAAAGATTAATTTTCGAAATTATGTATAGATCACCTCCGCCGTTGGGTTGCTGAACCTGTGGGCTCGTCCCTTCGGCGGTTATCGGGGTGATGTCCTTGGCCCTGGGATTTTACATGGAGCATTTGTTTTTTTCCCATGTTCTTTCTTTACCAGCTGAAACTTATCACGAAAACCAGAAAAACCAGACGGGCGCTTCAGGTGCTGTGGAGGGCTGTGGAGGGCTTTGGAGAACTCCAGAGGGGGGGGGGGGGGACCTTGTTCCAATGAATATGCCCCCCTCCCCGAGATCACACACGAGTATTCAGTTCCAGTTGAGTGAGAGAAGAAAGACAATCCACGAGGTCGATCTGTTGTTTTGCGATTACATAAACTGGTTGTTGCATGAGATAACAACATCGGGATGACAAGAGTGTTGCTGACGAACGCCATGCCGAAGCCGAAAGTGGCTGAATTTCTTGATCGGTATTGTCATCGGCAATTGTCATCCTTAGACCACTGGTTCCTCACTCACTTGCACTTGGGCGCTTTCGCCCTTATCAGCCTCATTACCACTTCGGAAAGGGGGTCCCTTGGGTTTCAAACCGCGATTTTCCACAGTTGAAAATATTCCATAAGTAGCCATTGTCCATTCTGGGATTTGTAGAACGTCGTAATAATCTCACGCCGCTGATAGGTCAACCGCAAATGGCACCCCTCACACGGGTGGTATATTTCAATTTGGCAGTTACTCACAGACTTACACGTTTTTCCTTGTGTCCTGCATTTCCTTGTTAAAGGATGACCAGGGACTTGTACGTACGTCTGTTTCCACGTCCTTTCTCCTTATCAGCCGGGGTCTAATTTGTTGAGCTCCATTTCAACAAATTTAATCGCTCATATAACGGAAATGATGATAAGTCCAAGAGAAAAAGGAATAATGCCATATAGCCTTGTTTCAAAGCCTGGGTCTTTCACCGTTGATAAGAAGCCCCATATTCCTGTTATAGTTGCTTTAGCAGTGGAGCCGTATCGTAAGATTGTCCCTGGGATGGAGATGTTCAATACGTCTCGAAATGTTCCCCGGGCTGTTGGAACAAAAATTCTATAGTTAGCCTATCCCAGCCCGCTCCCCTCCCAGAGAGGTCGCTCGCAGGAAAAACCGCCCCCAATTTGACCCACCACCACCTTTCAGATTCCTACGCGTTCCACATGTCTTGGGACACCCAATCCACGAGCTCAACGAGCTCCGAATATCTGAGCATTACCCCAGATACATCTCCCTTCTCTACTCCTTCCTCTCCGATAAGCGAGAACTCTGATTGGTTCGAGAGTGAAGGAAAATCCCTATCCGTTAGCGCCGACGTTATCGACTTTGCTGCATACGGACTTTCCCCCATCCCCCATCCCGCAGTTCCTTTGGAGGTGGACGACGCCGATGCCAACACCCCGGATAGGTGGGTTCGTCGTGAGCCCAGCATGGTTCGACTCACGGGGAAACATCCATTCAACTCTGAAGCGCGACTCGACAAGCTCTTCGCTGCAGGCTTTCTTACTCCCACCTCCCTCTTTTACGTACGAAACCATGGAGCTGTCCCTTACGTAGACGCTGATCGGGCCGCGAATTGGAGATTACGTATTCATGGATTGGTCGAGCGTGAAGTCGAGTTTTCGATCGACGATCTGAAGAGAAAATTTCGGACCGTGACTCTCCCCGTCACGCTGGTCTGTGCAGGAAACAGACGGAAAGAGCAGAACATTGTCCAGAAGAGCGTTGGATTTAACTGGGGTCCAGCTGCTGTCTCCACTGCGCTCTTCACGGGCGTTTACCTCGCCGACGTCCTCAAATACGTGCGCCCTTTCCGCCCCATGGCAAAGCATGTCGTATTTGAAGGGGCCGATACCGATTTGCCCCACGGACCGTACGGAACGTCTCAGACACTGAGAGATGCTGCAAACATTGAGAAAGGGATGATGATTGTGTGGGGAATGAACGGGAAAGCGTTATCACCGGATCATGGGTTCCCTTTGAGGATGGTCATTCCGGGTCAGATCGGCGGGAGATCGGTCAAATGGCTAAGGAGCATCGTGGTGAGCGACAAAGAGTCTCAGCATCACGTAGGTTTGCTTCAGTGTCATAGCAAGAATTAGATAGAGCCTCACCTACAATATCCTACTACAGCTTCACTTCTTCGACAATAGGATACTGCCCACGCAAGTGACTGCCCAACAAGCCCGCGACGAAAAGCACTGGTGGTACGACAGGAATTACTTAATCAGCGATCTCAACGTCAACAGCGCTATAGCTCAGCCCAGCCACAACGAAATAGTGGACCTCTCCAAGCCGACAGCATCGTACGACATCAGAGGGTATGCTTACTCCGGAGGGGACGAAGAGTCACGCGAGTGGAGATCTCGCTGGACAACGGCAACTCGTGGAAGATCAGCGACATGTAACGATTCCCGATCCATTTCGTACCGAATGGCCTACTAACGTAACGACGATTTTAGAGTGTATCCAGAGGATCTGTACCGAATGGTGGCACTTGAGAGCAGGTATTACGGAACGCTGGACTTGACTGAGCGTGACACCAGTTTGTGAGTCAATCTTTGCACATAACTCTTTCCTCTTTTGGAACATTCTGGGTAGCTGCTGGTGTTTCTGGAAGTATACCGTATCCGTCGATGAGCTCTCGAAGAGTGATGTGATAATGGTCAGGGCTATGGACCAAGGTCTCGGAATTCAGCCACAAGACATGTACTGGACGTAAGTTTGAATTATTCCCGCGTACCGAAGCCAGAACTCACGGTCGTCCCGCAGTGCCACCGGAATGATGAAGTGAGCTCCTCCTATCATCATTGAAAGGGTTTTTTTCCTAAGCCGAGGTGGCATGATTTTAGCAACTGGTGGTTCCGCGTTGCTGTCCGCCACGATGTCAAGGACGGTGCCGATATTTTACGCTTTGAGCATCCGACATTAGCCGGCGTTACTCCTGGAGGATGGATGGAGGCAAGTATGAATCATTCTTTGCCGGAAAAAAAAAAAAGCTCACTACGCCGCAGCGAATGAAAAATACGGGCTTGGATCCTTTAACACCGGAATTCAGTGCTTCCAAACAGAAAAATAATCACGTCGAACCTCCCAAAAAGCCCGAACCCGCCAGCATGACCAACCCCGAAGTCAATCGAGTCATTTCAATGACTGAATACTGCTCGCTGACCAGGGGCGAAGGAAAGAAGCCCTCTTTATCGTGGAAGGGAATGTCTACGATGGGACAGGTTTCCTTGACGAGCATCCAGGAGGTGCAGACTCGATTTGGTTGGCCTCAGGCGAAGCAGACGCCACAGAAGATTTCGTTGCCATTCACTCTGACGATGCCAGAACCAAGTTGAGGAAGGTTTGTATTATGTAAATGAATGTTGTAACGCTCGGGACTAACTCGCTTCCCTTATAGTTCCATATCGGGAAACTTCAAGCTGACGGGGCCGAACAATCGAGAGACGACTCTGGTGGACCCTCGTCTGTATTTTTGGATCGACGAAAATGGAAGGCTGCCCACCTCGTCAAGATTACCAGCGTCTCGCACGATTCCTTCATCTACCGTTTTGCGCTCCCATCTCCAGAACAGCCATTGGGATTGCCTGTCGGTCAACACGTGTTTGTTCGATTGCGAAGGAAGGCGACTGGGGAGGTCGTCCAGCGAGCGTACACTCCCGTCTCACAACAAGACGAGCATGGTCATATTGATTTACTGATCAAGTGAGTCACCTGGAATGGCTCGAAGGATCAGGGCTGACTTGCATGATACTAAAGGTTATACCTACCGTGTGCTGCGTTCCCGCTCGGTGGGAAGATGACAGTGGGTTTCCACGAGCTTGTTGTTGGTGATACTGTAGAGTTCAAAGGGCCTCTCGGCTCTTTCGTCTGGGAAGGCAAGGGAAACCTGAGATGGAAAGGCGTCCCTCGCTCAGGAATACGACATCTGGGTCTCATTTGTGGAGGAAGTGGAATCACCCCAATACTCCAGGTCCTTCGGAGCGTCCTGCACGACGGAGAAGACTCAGAGACCCATCTTTACCTCCTCGACGTCAACAGAACGGAGTCAGACATATTATGTTGGGGAGAGCTTGACACATGGTATGAACTGCACGGCGATAAAGCCCGGGATATCTCTAGAAGGAGACTCAAGATACACTATACGCTTAGTCGACCATCACCCCAATGGACTTTCGGTACGGGAAGGGTCAATGATGGGATGCTAGAAACTCATATGCCTCCTCCATCCGATGATGCGATGGTCTTGGTATGCGGCCCTGGCGGTATGGTAGATGACGCCGTGAAGCCTGGCTTGGAAAGACTTGGATGGGATGTTTCCAGAGCGCTTGTTGTGTTTTAGTTATGATGTCTGCTAGAAAACCGGCCCAGCTGCACCGCTTGATTGAGTTGGCGACAGACTCTTTTAGGTGAACTGCTTTTGGCTGGTTCCGAAGTCACTCCGGTGCCACCATCCCGATGCATTTAAATTTAATGGAGGTTGTATGACTTGTGTGTGCCGGCCTCAGCGCCTCGGTTTTTCTTCTGGGCATCCGCCGTGCCCCTTGCTAGGTCAAGCCCATATTCACGTGTCTTTCTTTTATGCGCGCCCGCTGAGCGCTTCGGCCTCCGTGCCTTCTCATCTGCGTCGGCAGTACGCTTCGGCTTCTCAGCTACTACCTCTTGCGTCCGCTGCACGTTTTTGATTGTTTTCGATCCACAGCTTTTTTCTCTTTCTCACGTCCGCGCACGCTGTTGAACTAATTTTCTTATCAGTTTGGTTATAGGAAATCTGGTTGGGTTGCGAGTATTCGGTTATCCTTCGCGAGTTGGAACCCGGATGTTTACGGTCGTTTTTCGTTTTTTGGTGTATGCTTTGTGTTTGTAACTTCACTTTTGCCTCTTCTTGGCTCTTGTCTGCTGTTACTCTTAGCTGTTTTCATCATTACCCTCCGCCTGCCCCATCGCTTCCTTTTTGTATTTCGGTCCGTTTTAATCAAGAGACTTCGACATCCTGTCGGGGCCGTCCTTCGCGCCTTCGCTCATACACAAGATGAAATTGAGGCATTACAATTTGTTCAGGTACACCAAATCCCAGTACAGCAACACTGGCAGGAGTCACTTCAAATGAGAAGCACCATGGCCTGACACGATTTCCTCCTCTTCTCGCGTTTCTGGTGTGGCAGCGAAGGTGTACAATGAACGTTTTAGAATGTTCAAATCATTGAAAAAATTTCATAACGTTCATCCGATTTCTGGGCCTACTGGGCCTATATATATAACGGCATCTGGTACTTAATTAGGTGGTCAGAATACAGGTGACATGGCTGCCGAAGCGAACGACGGCTATGCATGTTCCGGTGCGCGCGCACATAGTTGCCTTTTAGGTTTGCCTCGGATGTTCTGACCCCCCACCTGGTAGTGTAAGGCCCCGAGAACATCTCAATAGCGCCTTAGTCTGCTTCCTATCGAAATGCCCTCAGAGCTGTCGTAGCATAGGGTGTTGTAAGGAGCCTGCTTTCACCTTATCGTACACACATTTTGGTGTATCTACACACGCACAGATCATCGTCTGGCCCTAGTCAATTCCGCCATGGATGCCATTTTGCCAGTTGTGATGGAAGCCTTATCTACAATTTACGATGTCCCCAACCTTAGTCATCAGTTTGGTACCAAGACTCTAGTCACACGAGGCGGCTACTCCGAGGTTTATCGCGCAAAATGGAACCGATCTGGAACTCAGGCTCCCGTCAATGTAGGTTCTCTTCAACTGGCTTGTCGACTGTCTCACTTCACTCCTTCATTGAGCCTGAGGTCTGCTACAAAGTTCTCAGACCGCCCATGAGCAGCATGCCGCCTATCGTAGAACAGGTAAGAAAAACTATGAAGGTGAGAGACTTTTCCGATCGAATTGATAACGTAGAAGACACCTTTTCCGCATCAGCACTTGAAGAGAGAGATGAAGATATGGAAGGATTTAGACCACGGAAATATCGTGAGATTCATTGGTTTTGCGATTGAAGATCGTGGTGGAGTGCCAGAAGCAGTATTAGTGTCCGAATGGTGTGCAAATGGAAATCTCGCTGAATATCTGCATTGCGAGCCATCCTGCAATCGGCTGGCCCTGGTGAGCGGTACTTACGGTAACACTGATCTCATAGCCTCATGGGAAAAATAGCTTCTCGATGTCGCCCGAGGTCTGACCTACCTCCACGACCGTGACCCTGTTGTTGTCCATGGCGATCTCAAGCCTGTAAGCCAAGATGCGTTTCTACGAAGCTGGAATGGGCTGATTGGTGCCGTATAGTTCAACGTATTAATCAGTGATGCTGGGCATGCGAAGTTATGCGACTTTGGCTTCTCTTTGATAGCGGACGGATTGACAACGGGGTTTACATCATCGGCACCTGGATTTACGTTGCGCTATTGCGCTCCAGAAGTTCTGGAGAGTGGTAAGAAAACGAGACCTGGTGATACTTACTCCTTTGCCTGTACTTGTGCCATGGTGAGCTCGCGTAATTCGCGATTATAACATCCTTACACTTGACTGAAACTTGAGCAGATACTTTTTAGCAAAAATCCCTTCCCTTTGCTCACCAATGACACCCAGCTATGGAGGGCGTTAGAATCCGGTCTATCGCCTTGGAACTGGGAGCAATCCTCTCCAGTGGAGAAAATACTATCCAATTGTTGTGTGGGTCCTCCTGACGCACGCCCAGTTATGCGGGAGGTTTTCCGATGGCTCATGGATGCCTGCGTTGAGCCAGATTCATCCCCAATCCTTGAGGTGTCTGACCCTGAAGCAAATCGCCCATTGGCACTGCCTCCAACCGACAGCTCAGTGAATCCATTCCTTATGCCGGATGGAGACCCTGCCAGTTCAAACGCCGTGACGCCATCCAAGGAGACGACCACGAAGGTTGATGAACAAGTAGTTCCTGTTGCCCTTTCACCTGAGGCTCACAATACAATTCCCATGCTGAAGCAGGCTAAGCTACTATTGCCAAAGGCAACACCTGGACCCCGGGAAGTGAAGGAGCTGACGGTAGAGCCGCCCTCAAATACTGCTCAACAGTCTTCCCAAGCTCGCAACCACACTCACCACGATCAGCACGGTGACTCGGCTGGATCTCGTCTTGGGCCTCCCGGCACCACACGTACTTCGCGGTTCCCCTCCCCTGGTCCTAGCGATCTGAAGCGACAAGTGTCCCCCGAGCTTGTGACCGCGCTGCCTAGGAGTCGGCTTGAGAGAGAACGTCACGAGCGTCTAAGAGCCGAAGAGGAGTTAAGGCGGAAGGAAGCAGAAGCCCGTCGTAAGCTGGCGGAAAAAGACGTAGAACTCGATCGTCTTGAGGCTGCTCCAGCCGATCCATTGACACAAATTGCGATACCCGCAACTGTTGCTGCCACAGCACCTAAGAAGCCTTCAGCAAACGATTCAGATGAACAGGGACGCAACATCACGTCTTATGACGACGAAGGTGGTGGATCGTCTGAGGATGAGGAGGACCCCACTACAGACGAGCACGTACGGATTCCATATCGCCCGAAAAAGCTGATGCATGCACGAAAGCGCAATAGAAAAGTGCATTTCGTGACAACACACACGACCGCTGGTGGAATGTCTACACCACCCAGCTCGTTCTCTGTTCTTGCTCCTGCGGAAGAAGCTCAGCGTAGAAGGGATGAGGCCATCCGGGATCGTCTTGCAACGCTTGAGCGGCTGGAACAGAGAGAAAAGGCGGAAAGAGAGGCTCAGGAAAGGGAAAGGGCCGCAACCTTGAAATCAGTCAACCAGAACCTCTCCATCGTTCGCGAGCAACCATCGGTATCAGACATTACGGCTCGCCTACCAGCAGCACCCCGAATCCCATACCTTTCTTTGCCAATTCTCCCTGTCCGCCTTGATACAGCACCTAAGAAGGCTTCAACAAACGATTCAAATGAACGATGCAACGTCACGTCTTATGACGATGAAGGTGGAGGATCGTCTGAGGATGAGGAGGACCCCAGTACAGATGAGCACGTACGGATTCCATATCGCCCGAAAAAGCTGATGCATGCACGAAAGCGCAATAGAAAAGTGCATTTCGTGACAACGCACACGACCGCTGGTGGAATGTCTACACCACTCAGCTCGTTCTCTGTTCTTGCGCCTGCGGAAGAAGCTCAGCGTAGAAGGGATGAGGCCATCCGGGATCGTCTTGCAACGCTTGAGCGGCTGGAACAGAGAGAAAAGGCGGAAAGAGAGGCCCAGGAAAGGGAAAGGGCCGCAACCTTGAAATCAGTCAGACAGAACGTCTCCATCGCTCGCGAGCAACCATCGGTATCAGATATCACGGCCCGCATACGAAACAGCTTAGAACAGGCACAACCAGCAGCACCCCAAATGCCACACCCTTCTTTGCCAATTCTCCCTGTTCGCCTCGATCGTGGTCCTCCAGAGAACTCACCATTCGTGCCCCCTCAGGCGAGTCTTTCCAGTGAAGCGTCGGGACAAACTGTCAGGGAAAATGTCCGTCGCATAGAACAGGTCAGTTGTCCCACTGCCAGGTTGGTGGAATCCAGTTACTGACCAAGGCCAGGATCCGAGCAAACCGCCAAAGCCTCACCCCCACTCCGTGCACTCCATGACAACACACACGACCGCCGGTGGAACGTCTACACCACTCAGCTCGTTCTCTGTTCTTGCTCCTACGGAAGAAGCTCAGCGTAGAAGGGGTGAGGCCATCCGGGATCGTCTTGCAACGCTTGAGCGGCTGGAACAGAGAGAAAAGGCGGAAAGAGAGGCCCAGGAAAGGGAAAGGGCCGCAACCTTGAAATCAGTCAGACAGAGCCTCTCCATCGCTCGCGAGCAACCATCGGTATCAGACATCACGGCTCGCATACGAAACAGCTCAGAACAGGCTCAACCAGGACCCCGAATCCCACACCCTTCTTTGCCAATTTTCCCTGTGCGACTTGATCGTGGTCCTCCAGAGAACTCACCATTCATGCACCCTCAGGCGAATCATCCCAGTGAAGCGTCGGGACAAACTGTCTGGGAAAACGTCCGTCGCATAGAACAGGTCAGTTCTAATTTTCCCACTGCCAGTGTTGGTGGAGCCCAGTTACTGACCAAGGCTAGGATCCGAGCAAACTGCCAAAGCCCAACCCCCACTCCGTGCATTCTGTGACAACACATACGACCGCTGGTGGAATGTCTACACCACTCAGCTCGTTCTCTGTTCTTGCTCCTGCGGAAGAAGGTCAGCGTAGAAGGAATGAGGCCATCCAGGATCGTCTTGCAACGCTTGAGCGGCTGGAACAGAGGGAGGGGGCGGAAAGAGAGGCCCAGGAAAGCGAAAGGGCGGCAACCTTGAAATCAGTCAGCCAGAACCTCTCCATTGCTCGCGAGCAACCATCGGTATCAGACATCACGGCTCACATACGAAACAGCTCAGAACAGGCTCAACCAGCAGCACCCCGAATGCTACACCCTTCTTTGCCAATTCTCCCTGTCCGCCTTGATACAGTACCTAAGCCTTCAACAAACGATTCAAATGAACAGGGACGCAACGTCACGTCTTATGACGATGAAGGTGGAGGATCGTCTGAGGATGAGGAGGACTCCACTACAGATGAGCACGTACGGATTCCATATCGCCCGGAGAAGCTGATGCGTGCACGAAAGCGCAACAGAAAAGGCTCCATGCATTCCGTGACAACACACACGACCGCTGGTGGAATGTCTACACCACTCAGCTCGTTCTCTGTTCTTGCTCCTGCGGAAGAAGCTCAGCGTAGAAGGGATGAGGCCATCCGGGATCGTCTTGCAACGCTTGAGCGGTTGGAACAGAGAGAAAAGGCGGAAAGAGAGGCCCAGGAAAGGGAATGGGCTGCAACAGTTAAACGGAATTTCTCCATCACTCGTGACCAACCATCGGCATCAGACATCACGGCTCCTTTATGAAACAGCTCAGAACAGGCTCAACCAGCAGTTGCCCCAAATGCCAGACCCTTTCTTGTAAATACGGCGTTCCAAATATGGCAACCCGCTTCAGTAGCTTTCACTCACAGTCCCACCTTGGACACCCTATTCCCACCCCTCGTTAGGTCTGACAAGTAGAACCTTTTGCGACTCACCCAACAGGCCCAAAATACTATAAAACGTTTTCAAACTCGTAGAACATTTTGTTCTAATTCAGTTTCCCTCGTGACATTTGCAAAAATGTTTTCAAAATGTTTTCAAACGTTTCAACACCTTTTCTGAGCACCCGATCTATGGGAAACGAGTGGAAGTCGTTCTCCGATGCTTCAAGAACGTAGATTAACTCCATTTGCAAACCCTATATACATTGTAGTAGTATATACATCACGGGGAGGATCAAGTAGTATGTTACATGTCAAGAAAGCAATTAGGAAGAGAATATAAGCTGATTATTGCAAAGAGAACGAAGCAAGTAAAATGTAAAATGAATGAGAATCAAAAGGTAGAATCCATGCTGAAGGGATTACTGAAATAGATGGGGAAAGTGATCCCCTGTACCGTGTTCAAATCTCGATGGAGGCAAAACATCTGGTGCCTGGAAACCAGACAGAAGTGGAGTATAGGATTGAGACGGCCAGCGTGCATTGTGGTCTGATCCATGGTAAGCCTGTGGCACAGATTGAGGCACAGGAGGAAACTCAGGGCAATATAGTGGCAGACATTCAGGAAATTGGGGGTCGACCTGTGCTGTTGCAACTCCTGGCACCGCAGTTAAGGGCAGAAGCAACACCAGCACAACTTGGGGCAAACCTGCAATTTGTGGCCCAATGCCCATAGGAGCTGGAGCTTGTCAGGGACAGCTCTGAAAGCGGTGAGGTCCTGTCAGGGTCATGCATGCTCACAATGAAGGATGCCCCAGAAACCTAATTGATATCAAAGCTGGGGGACATGCCCATCCTGTTGGAGGAACTGTGTGCTATGAGGGTACTCCAATGGAGCTAACCTGAACAGCCACATTGTTGTGTTAGCATGGGAACATTCTGGGAGAGCAACTTGCCCAGAATCCACCATGTGACTACTTAGTCACAAGACCTCTTTTATATTATTTCGGACTAACCCGTGCCAGTCCACAGATATATTCATTCATTTGAATTCATTTCCTTTTCCCTCAGTTCTTCACGCATATTAGCTGAGACTGAGGTTAGTTACTACATTCCCTTATTGTTTTATCATTGTAACTCACACTATGTATATTACCTTTAGTCATACTCATAGGTAATATCATCAGTTGGATGGATGGATGGATGTATTCATTTTAAAGTACGTAACCGTGCCTATCGGCATATGCCGTACTATAGTGACTCGGGTGAAAAAAGTTTGGAGAACATAAGGATGTGAAGAAAAAAAAAATTTGTGTGACCTAGGAAGTATGAGACATCGAGTAATCAATGGTGTGAAGGAGAATAAAGTGAGATGAAGCAATAACACATAAAGGGGCATGCGACCCCTGCACTGAGATTGAACAACAGGTGAGGGAGAATGGAGGTGGGGAGAGGTTGTATAGAGCCAAAGAAAAGGACACGCGACCCCCAGTGTTGGGGTCGCATGTTTTGCTGCTGTGTGCCTATGGTTAAGTCAATGTTTGAGTGCGCGGTTCTTGCGGGTGGGTGAGTTGGAGGGTGCTTTCACGGGTTTATGTCATGGTAGGCTGGTGAATGTTCCAGTGGCAGCGAAAGGCGATGGGTGTTGGTGGCATCTTGCTCATGCTTGTTGAATAAAGGCATGTGGCAGATAGGCCTTTGGTAGAAAGGGTAGTGGAGAGAAATGAAAGTGTTGGGGTGACGGCAGGACTTGAACCTGCATTCCTTGCAGTCAACTTTTTGTCGGCATATGGGGCTATCGTTGGCGCTACCACTATCGCGCCTCGTCACTAAGAGGTAGTGGAGAGAAAGATGAATCGGAAGGGTGTTGGGGTGATGGCAGGACTTGAACCTGCACTCCGGCCTGCCCATGGACTTATGGAGGCTACCATTGGCGCTACCACTATTGCACCTCACCAACCCAAAAGGTAGTGGAGAAGAGAAAAAGAAGGAAGGGTTGGGGTGACGGTGGGACTTGAACCCACAGTCCTCTGGCCAGTCCCGTCTGGGCTTACGGAGGTCACCATTGGCGTTGCCACTATCGCGCTCGTCATCCCAAAAAGGTAGTGGTGAGAAGAAAAAGGAAGGGTTGGCTTGACAGCGGGACATGCACCCGCGCTCTTGCATCTCTCCAGCCAGTGCGGCTCTGGGCTTACAGGGTTGCGGTTGATTGGCATTACCACGGTGGCCACGTCATCCTCCCTTCAGATGTTAGAGGCCTAATTAGTTTTAAAGAGGGGCACCGTGTGAAGGTTTAGGCCCGTGCCGGGTGTTCGCTGTGGTAGCAGAACTCCCCCTCGACTGACATCCATTGTCGAGGCCCTAATATCATCAGTTCTTCATGCATATTAGCTGAGACTGAGTCATGCTCATAGTCCAGCTCCAAGATCAAATTGTCGCTCATCAACACATCCCAGCACATGGTCATATATACATGGTAGAGGTGGTAACTTGTTACGGATACGG